TCTCCCCTCCTCCCTCATTTTCTCTTTTTTTTCTCGCTTTCCTTCCTTCTTTCTCTCTCTCTTTATTTGTCTATTTAATCAATCTTGCTATGCCTCTTTCCCTATTTTTCCGAAGGGTGTCTAAGAAGAGAGGACCAGTAGACACATTTCAACGGTTGAAATTGTTAATATGTAGAACATAAAGTCGTGTGTTCGAGAAATATAAAGGAATCTAACAAAAAATGAGATTTAAAAAAAATCTGCTTCACTTTTTAAAAAAGTTCAGTTACAGGAATGTGATCGGTCCGTTCTGGTTTCAGGACGAGGGCAATAAAACATCGACGTCACATGAGATGGATATCTGCCAATGCAAAAACGGTTTGTGGAAAAAAAAAGGTAATGCTGATGAGTTGGCCTGGTTCTAGAAGGGTGGGGTCACACCCTGCAAACCAAGTTGCTCTGCAAGAAAGGTGTTTGGAGGAACGCCTTACAATCCTTCAGATAAATGGACGGTCTCCCGTTCTCATAAATTGTATTTCCCTCAATGATTTTCTAAAGCTGGTCTTTTTTTTGTTTTGTTTATGTTTGCCTGCTTGTTTTTTATACTGCTGTGGGTTTTTTGTGTTTTTTAGTGGTTTTATTTTTTATTTTTTTACAAACACAGTCTACAGAAGCAGCCCATAACGAAGAGAACAGTTCAAACACATAGATGATCTGGAGATTTTAAAATTGGACCCAAAAACATGTCACAGACTTATTCAAGATGTTACGAAGTTTTACTTTCAACTCAATTTTGGTTGAAGTTCTAGAAAGTTGATATAGATCTACGTCGATTTTTTTTTTCATATAAAAAAACCTGAAAAACTGACAAAACTTTGGTTGAATTCTAATCATTTTTAAGTGTTGTTAGAATTGCTTTAAATATGATTGAGCTTAATTAGTCCTCTTATTTAGACACTCAGCACCTCTCTCTCCCTCTTCCTCTCTCTCTTTCTCTCTTTTTCTCTTTCCCCCTCACTCTCTCTCTCTTCTCTCTCTCTCTTCTCTCTCTCTTCTCTCTC